GGCATGTTGACCGCACCACTCAGCTTGGTGTGGTGGGACATGTTGTCATAGAACATGAACTAATTATTAATTTGCAGCATAAAATCATTCATCACAAAGAAAGTTGTTAGAGGAATAAAAGACTCTTGTGATGTGATCTTCTGGCTAGTAGTGGCCCACAAAGTTCTGACAAATGGTGTGACACTGATTCCTCTTCCTGCTTCCAGCTGCTTTTGCACATACTTAGGTTTTTCACTGCACAGAAAAGCCACCGTGTTTGTAATAGCAGCTTTATGCAGGAGGACAGAGCTCACCAATTTCCATTATCAATCACTTCAAAGAAAGAGAAAGAATGGAGCTGCTGGCTGAATAAAGTGCTTAAACCCTTTTTGAAGTGGTCTTTTTCCCTATCAGTTGCAATTAATATATGAACATACTTGGCATAAAGACATTGTGCAACTTTGAATGGAAAAAGTGATGGTTTGTAAACAACAGACTTTTCATTTTATGTCATTTGCATAATGGCTTTAGTTTTATTTAATTTACATTGTGAAAAAAGTGGTCTCTAGTGTTTGCATTGTGCTTGAAGAGTTAAATATTGTGTCTAAGGATCCAGGAGGACTCTTTTCCAAAGATTCTCCCTTATGTGAACAAATACCTATCTTAATAGAAGAGGTTCCTATAACTTTTTCATTTAGCAGAATTACTCATGAAAATAGGCACTGTTTGATGTATTAAAGGTGTCAGAATATGGCCTTAGGTTTTCAGCAACACAATGGCTTAGGCAGTAATTAGGCTAGGAAATAGATCAATCATTAGGTATGCGGTGGTATCTCGCAGGCAGCCTTGAACATTAGAATCTGCCTTATTGCAAGAGGGACTGGGGAAGATGGGTTTTGCTTTTCATTGGAAGGGACAGAAACTTCTGAAATGTTTGTTTGATCTGGCCCATTGTAATTTACTGCATCCCTTGCAAGGCCACTGGCATCTGCCATCAAACCACACGAGTCTGATGGCCTTTGCCCACTGAGATGGTGCTTTACGTTGGGATTCATCAGCCCTAGTTCAGGTTCCAAAAAATTAACTGGGTGTATCTAAGATTAGGGTCCCTTTATAGTCAGAGACTGAGAAGAGGTATCTAGAGGGCATCTTCTCAGGAAGGACAGACATTTAAGAGTGGTCACATAAGCTTCGTTATGGAGGTATTTAGAATCATAGAATCGTTTACATTGGAAAAGACCTCTAAGATCATCGAG